CAGAGCAACAAACAAGGCAGCCTCTCAGTGCTCTTGGCGCTCGGTGCCCAATCCCACTCCCCCAAAAAGCAGTGAGGGCATAAAAAGAAAAGCGACAAGACAAACCAGTTACTGGACAAACCGGGATAATTATCCATCCGACTGTCGAGTACCTCTCTCGTCAATCATACGACAATTGCCACATGCGATTCTGCACAACACAGAAGCAACACATGCACAGGCAACTTTACCTCTTACCCCATCGTTGGAAGACGGGAGGCGAAAGCAACAAGCGATTTGGACTGGTTAACTAATCTTTTGGATCTCTCTCTCTATCTCTCTTTTGGTTTTTCCTTTTCGACTTTTGGAATGTTGACGTATCGCTGTCGCTCTCTTTTTGGTTGCCTTGTGCTACAAATCTCTGGTCCATGTCATCATCTCTGTAACCCGCGTGTCTACTCCCGCTCGGTCCTACTGGTGTTTTTCTATATTCTTTTGGACTAAATAGACCCCATCGCTGCAAAGGGCGTCGACAACATTATTCCGACCGACATTCTCTCCAAAGCTCAAGGACTCGCTATTTTTACAGTCGTCAAGGCAGGATTTCTCTTTTCAGGCAGAGCGGGCTCTGGTATCGTTGTTGCTCGTCTTGATGATGGCACTTGGTCTGCACCGTCAGCCATTGGAACCGGCGGTATGGGCTTTGGAGGACAGATTGGAGCAGAGATCACAGACTTTGTCGTCGTCTTGAACAATAAGATGGCCGTCAGATCCTTTGCTTCAGGTGGAAACGTCACTCTTGGAGGCAATTTGTCAGGTAAGTGTGCTATGATGATGGCTCCGGGTAGCATTTAAGCGCTTGACAAAACGGTCAATTGATCAAGGATATCAGAGGATGACGGATTATCATTACTGTTGTGAATCCCGACTGGGCTCCCTAACACGCCATCTCATTTCAAATCGCTCACTCTTGAATAGTTGCTGCTGGACCCATTGGACGAACAGCTGAGGCTGGAGCCTCTGCCAGTGTCAAGAGCGTTGCAGCCATCTACTCTTACAGCAAATCTAAGGGTCTCTTCGCAGGTAAAGACACGTTTGAAACGAGGGCAAATGGACTTGAAGCATTGAAAGAATCACAGCAAAATCCGGTCACTCTAACACTCATTTTCATCAACTACAATAGGTGTGTCGATTGAGGGATCAGTCATTGTGGAAAGAAAGGATGCAAACGAGGCCTTCTATCGTCAAAAGGTCACTGCGCAAGAGTTACTTTCGGGAGCCATTACTCCTCCACCTCAAGCCGATATTCTCTACAGAGCACTCAATACCAAGGCATCTGGAGGCAGCGTTTATGGAATCAACCGCGCACCTTCGTCCGCAACAGGATACAGCGATGACTCTCTGTCTGCCTCACCAGGTGTTGGGCGCAGTGTCAGTATTTCGAGCGCCGGACGTTATGGAAACCAGGCTGGATATGGTGCTAGCCAGACTGGACTGGGACGATCTGCCTCGAATGCTGCCAGCTACAACAACAATAACAGCTACAACAACTACAAGGGTGGATCAGCAGTGGCTGAGGAGAAGGAGCGGGAAAGCGAAGCAGAGGCTCTTCCTCGTTACACTCCGTCGGCGGTGCGCAAGCCCATTGCTGGACGTGTCTCGACTGACAACAGCGGATACCCAGCAACACACAACCAGAACATTGCCAACTCGACAGGACCCAGAGTCCCTCCTCGCATCGGTGCCAAGCCCGAGGTTGTGACGGCATTGTTCGACTACACTGGTGAGCAGCCAACGGATCTCTCGTTCAAGAAGGGTGATGTGATTACTGTTGTCAAGAAGACGGACAGCCGCAACGACTGGTGGACTGGACGATGCCATGGCAAGGAGGGATCCTTCCCTGCCAACTACACCCAGTAAAACAACAAAACGAACTGTAGTTTCTTTTGTACAACACTTCATAGCACACTTTCATACGCAACCATTTGCAGCAATTGCAAAATAACAATAAGAAAACAAAAACAATGAATAGCACTTCTATCTGCAAAAACAAAAAGCCTTTTCTGTGGTTGCCTGCTGCATGCCAAGATTGGGCTATGAGTCTATGAGAATATTACATTGCATGTTCAAAGGAGATGACTTGGCACAAGCCCTGCTAAGCAGTTTGGCTGTTCAGGCTGAACGCTTTCTCCTTTGACAACTGGTAAACGCCTAAAGTAAAGCATCGATCTCAAAACAGTAAGACATGCGAGGCCAATTGCTCAGTGCGCTGAAAAGAAAAGAAGCGCAGTGAGTGAGAGAGATGAAGAGAACAAGCTTGCTGGCACAAGCTGGCTTTTTGAGTTGTCACTCTCGTCATCGATACTTGTTTTCCAGGTGTCGGTGTTATCTCCACCTTCATCCGGGAAAAAAGATCGGCCGTCCGACCCTCACCACATTTTTTTCTGTATTTTATTTTCCGCCGGTGTCTGCGCTTTGGCATCATCGGCATGTTGCGTGCCCCTTGTTTTCCTTTGCTCATCCTTGTTGGATGTCCTTGACCCCTCTGTCTTGGACTTGTCTTGTTTGTTTGCCTCTGTTTGTTTCTTTTGTTTGTGTTGCTGTCGTTGCGCTGTTTTTTCCCTCTTCGTGGTCGTGCCCAGCTTCGCAGTTGGGACTGGACTGGAGAGGACTTTTTTCTTTGTCAGATATTTTTCTGGGATTTGTCACTCTCTCCTCTTCTCCTTCTATTTCTACTTCACCATCCTCTTTTCTCCTCTTTCTCTTCATACCTTCTCTTCAACAGCCCTCGACTTCACCCCTGCTATTGTCTCACTGCTACCTCACACCATCACTGACAACAACACAACCACCACCACCACCAAGTACCTAGCACTACTAGCCTCCAGCTGACACCCCTCCGCTATTGCTCAGACAATCGTAACCATGGCTCAACAAAAATATTCTGTGCAACAAGTCCAGGCGCACAAGTCCGAAGACTCGTGCTGGGTGATCCACAACAACAACGTTTACGACGTCTCCACCTTTGTCCAGGACCACCCTGGTGGGGAGGAGTACATTCTCGACCATGCAGGCAACGACATCACCAACCTCATGAGCGACAAACTCTCTCACATGCACTCTGAAGGAGCTTATGAAATGCTCGACGAGTTCCTGATCGGCTCCCTTGATACCCCTATCAGCAATAGCGCTACAACCACTGCCACTGTAACTGCAACAACGACAGCTACAAAGCGGATCAATGCCAAAACGACAGACGACGGCGACGAGGACGACGAGGACTATCACAAGGAGACGGACCTCGTAGCGGACAAGAAGACAAAGTTCCTCGACCTCAGCCAGCCGCTCCTCTGGCAGCTCTGGAACAGCGAGTTCTCCAAATCCTTCTACCTGGAGCAAGTCCACATCCCTCGTCACCTCAAGGGTTCCGCACGGATCTTTGGCTCGCCTTACCTTGAAGTCTTTACCAAGACCCCTTGGTTCGTGATTCCCATCTTTTGGTTGCCCATTATCGCCTACAACTTTAACCGGAGTCTTGAGACGGGTCTGACAGCGGACACGGCTGGATATTACTTTTTCAGTGGCATGTTTATCTGGACGCTGGCAGAGTATGTGATCCACCGGTTCTTGTTCCACCTGGATGATTTCTTACCGGACTCGACTTTCTGGCTCACGGCACATTTTCTCCTCCACGGCATTCACCACTATCTCCCCATGGACAGGTAAACGAAAGAACAGTTTTTTGCTTTTGTTCTACTTTTTTCCTTTGACGCACGTACACTTGCAGCACGCACATTACGCACATGCACGCCCTTGATCCCTCAATTGGTTATGATCCGTCACTGACAAACCGGAATGCTCTCCTCTTCCTTTTGTGTAATCGAACTACAACCACACAATCACAGATTGCGACTCGTCATGCCACCAGCTCTCGCTGTTGCACTTGCTGTCCCCCTCTTCAAGCTTGGACATAGCATCTTTGCCGCCCCTCAGGCATATGCTGTCATGTCGGGCGCATTTATGGGATACGTCCTCTACGACATGACACACTATTACCTTCACCACGCCAAGGTCTTCAAGATTCACTTCAAGGAGATGAAGACGTATCACCTTGCCCACCATTACAAGAACTTTGAAGGCGGATATGGTATTACCTCCAAGATCTGGGATCGGTAGGTCTCCCTTTGTTTTCTTTCTTCGTTCACGTTGGGCTGTCGTGCTTTCTTTTTCTTTGGCGTGTTTGATATTTCGTCTCTTTGCTCTGTTCGCTTCTCTTGCTTGTCTTTCAAGGGGAGTAAGTGGATGGTGAAAGAAGAGGGATTACAAAAACACGACATCAAAAACCCAACTACCATTGCCAGGACTCTCCTTGCCTTTTGTATATCTCCTGTTCTCGTTCTCATGCTATGACAACCTGACGATCTCATACTGCACAGTATCAGATTACTCCCTTCTTTCCTCCCTTCAATTACGCTGTATCTGCCATCGTCGGGGTCGTCATTCCCAGTCTTACTCACATCTGCTCTTCTTTCCATACTCTGTTTTTTTTCATGTGCTTAGGGTGTTCAACACCGAGCTCAAGTTGTAGAGACCTCACCATATCTCTGCCTCTCTCGTTCAACGCCACCAACTTGCTTTTTGTCGACCATATCCCTAACACTTAGAACAGGACGCTCGAGAGGGTTGCTGTACATAATTACTTCCCTCTTTTGCCTTCTCTTTCTTTCCTTTTGTTCAATATTACATGTACCAACCCATAGCTTTCCTTTTGCACACGCCTAATTACTACCTCACATTTGAGTGCGATTCGAAATAAAAATGACTTGAAAACTGGATGTGGAACTCACTGGATACCCTTTGTCTTTGATTGTATCTTTACCCATCCAAAGGGACACTCAAAAAAGCAGGGATACAACTCAACAACCGTCTTGCAATTATAGCCTCTTTTTTGCTTCGTTTCGTATGTCGCTCTTGCTTCGCCTACCACAACAAGAGCTCATAAGAACAAAAAGGAGGTTGCTGGGAAACCCTGGGTATCGAACCCAGAGCCTCTCGTTTTCGAAGCGAGCGCTCTACCATTGAGCTAGATTTCCCATGAGATCCTTAAGGGGACTTATCGAACTAAATCAGCTATCACGTGATTTTCCATAGATCGCACTTTCGCGCACAAAAAAAAAAAATCGATTTGGAAACCACAACGATGCAGTTCGGTGGTCAAGTGGGGATTGTCTTGGGAAATGGGTATTCGCTGGAACCACGAGAGTCCAGGTCTTAGGTCACGTCTCTGGCACAAAGACCTACGTCGCCGAAATAGTGGTGGCATTGTGCTAAAGTCCCAGCCTCTCTTGTCTTGGAGGTGTGTGGGAAAGAACTCGTTTTTTCCCGTACAGGTGCGCAAGCACTAACGACAAAATCTTTTGCGCTAGTCTCCCCTGTCCTGGAGGCGCATGACAAAATATTTTATTTTGTTATGTACGCACTTTTGTGCATGGATGGAGGTGGCGTTGTCCACTTGAAAAACGATGGAGGGTTGAAGGTACAGGGACTATCTCCCAGTTGTTTTGGAGGAGAGGTAGAAGG